ATGTCTGCTTGAGGCATTATTATCTTCCCCATTATTTGGTGACTTCATTTAGATTTGTTCTATATGTGCATACATTTTAAGAAGCTTCTATTGTAGTAAGTTTCCAGAAGTAGAAGGACCTTCCCCCAAAAGCCCTAGTGTTAATGGTCCCTCCCATGTTCCCTCCTGTCACTCTTTCCCCATTTAATCCTCTCATTCCAGTCTCCCCCATCTCTCTATAACGATATATTCTATTTCCCCTTCATTGGGAGAAACTCTCCTCCCTCCTAGTCCCTTACTCTATACCTAACAGCTGCAATTATATGGATTGTAGCATGCCTATGAAAAGTTTAAAGGCTAAAATTTCCATAAAAGAATACATGCCATATTTGTCTTTTTTTTTAGTTTAGTTACTTCACTCCAGATGGTTTCTTTCCCTAGCTCCATTTATTTCTGAAACTCACAATTTTGCTAATTTTGTTTTAATAGCTAAATAATATTCCATTGTGCAAATGTATTACATTTTCGTCATCTATTGATTGCCATCTAGGCTGTTTCTAATTTCTGGCCATAATAAACAGAACAGCAATGAAAATGGATGAACAGGTGTCTTGTAGCAGGGTGTAGAGTCCTTTGGGTATATGTCCCAGAGTGGAAGAGTGGTATAGCTGAATCTTGAGCTAAATCTATTCCCAGCTTCCTGGGGTACTGCCACACTGATTGCCATAGCAGGTGTACAAATTTCTCCACCAGCAATGTGTAAGTGTCTCTTACGCCTTACTCCACATCCTAACAAGCATGAACTGTCTGTTGTTGTTTTAATGATCTTAGCCATTCTGACTGGTATAAGGTGAGATCTCAAGGCAGTTTTGATTTGTATTTCTCTATGACTAAGGATGTTGAACATTTCTTTCAGTGTTTCTCAGCCATTTGTGTTTCATCTTTTGAGAAACTCTCTGTTAATATCCCTTTTTTTAAGTTGGGTTGTTTTCTTAAGGTCCAGGGATTTTTCTAGTTTTTATATATTTTAGATATTAACTCTCTATTAGATGTGTAATTGGTAAAGATCTTTTCCTGATCTGTAGCCTGCACCATCCAAATGACGGTCAATTGCTATACAGAAACTTTTCAGTTTCATGAGGTTGTGTTTATTAATTGTTGTTCTTAGTACCTGTGCCATATGTCCTGTTCAGAAAGTCTTTCTTGTTTCAATGAGTTCAAGACTATTCCCAGCTTCTAGAGATTTGAGGTATCAGGACTTATGCTGAGGTCATTAATTCATTTGGAGTTGAGTTTTGTACGTGGTGTTAAATACGAATCTATTTGCATTCTTCTATGTGTAGCCACCCAATTTGACTAGCACCATTTGTTGAAGATGCTGTCTTTTTTCCAGCTTATATTTTTGCTTCTTTGTAAAAAAACCAGGTGTCCATCAGAGTGTGGACATATGCCTGGAATTTTAATTCTATTCCATTGATCAGCATATCTGTTTTAATGCCATACCAATCTTTTTTTATTACTAAATCTCTGTGGTACAACTTGAAATTTGGAATAGTGATACCTCTAGCAATTCTTTTATTATTCAGGATTGTTTTCGTTATCCTGGGTTTTTGATGAAGTATGCTGCCAGCCTCATTGCCTATCAAGAATTGTGCCCAAGACATTCTAGCAGAATTGAGAAAATGTCTTCTCAACAACAACAACGTTTTAAGATCCAACTCAAATTGTAGTCTGTGGTAGAGCACTTCTTTGTCAGGGTTACTCTTGCTGCAATGAAACACCATGACCAAAAGCAAGTTGGAGAGAAAAGGGTTTATTTGGCTTACCCTTCCATATGACAATTCATCATGGAAGACAACCGGAGCAGGGACTCAAAAAGCCTAGCATCCTGGAGACAGGAGCTGATGCAGAGGCCATGGAAGAGTGCTGCTAACTGTCTTGCTACCCATGGCTTGCTCTGTTTTGTAGAATTGTGGTCCTCAATTCACCATCTCTTGATTAATTTCTGCTAATGTTTTTTTTTTTTTCTTACATTGTCAACAAGTTTGGTATAATCACTAACAGCCCCCTGATAGTCGCAGGTAAAAGAAAGGGACTTGTACAATTAGAAAACATTGCAAATTCCACCCAAATTTCAAGTTTAATTAAACATTAGAAATGCCAGCTCCACCTTGATTTCTCCATATCCTGTAACAAAAGCATGTGGGTTCTTCAGTAATAAAATTGTTTCTCCAGGCAAAGACTGAGAACACAGGGAAGGAGTAGCACAAATAATTACAAACACAGTTCACTCTAGACCTGCCCAGGACAACACAAAAGCTTATGAAATATTTAAAATACAGCTAATCCAGTGACAAAACTAATTTTCTAACTTTAACAAGTGTAAAAATGGATACCTCATTTGATTACTAGGAACAGTTCAAAGTATGTTCCAAAGTACTTGACTGTGTGAATACATTTTCTATAGTATATTTTATGAACTTTAAGTGCAGAGTCTATGGAGTAAAAGCATACCATCTGAATTGGCATGTGTTGTAAGTATAAATTACATGTCTTATTTGGGAGACTTAATGTAAACAGAAACAATAAAAATATTTGTCACATGGGGTTAAATTATTGACGATAATTAAATGGATGTTTTAGAGGAACGATTAGAAAATTCAAACTGTGCATGACTTGTTTTGCATTTCTGTTGGACAAGCCTCTCTAGATCAGCCTTGAAACTGTGTGTGTTTCCAAGAGTGTCTGCCAAGAGTCCTAAGTACCAGGCAGGTGAGGACTGCTTACCTAGACAGAACTCAAAATATCCTTTCTCATCCCCTCTAGAGACTGCCCTTAAACCCTTTCCCAGAAAGATAACTAGAACTTTGCCAGATCACTGACATGCAGTCATCTGACGTGTACTGACTTGTAGGCACCCTGAGATGGTACCCATAGCCCTCCTTCAGCTCTTCATTCATTTGGAGCAGGCCTTTCCATGGCGGTTCTGAAACTCTCAGCATCCTGACAAAGGCTGGCATTGCTGAGGAATGTTGCATTTTGAGAACTACAGCAGCAGAATAGGCTCCTTTTCGGCACCCAGGTTCTCTGCCAGAAAGTCTTTGGGGGTGGAGGAAGGGAAGCTAAGAAAGTGTGAAACTGATGCCTGTCAACCTAAAGCTACAGCTACTAAAGTGACAGAAAGCGCTGGACGGGAAGGGATCTGGGGCTGGAGAGATGGCCCAGTGGGCACACTGCTTCCCATACAAGCATGAGGACCTGAGCTCAGTCCCCAGCACCACATTAAAGCCTGGAATCAGGTGCTGAGCAGCAGAGACAGGAGCATCCCCTGGCGGGGGGGGGCTTGCTGGCTAGCCAATCTAGCCAAAGCAGGAACAAGTGAGGAGGACACTCAGCACTGATCTCTGACCCCTATGGGAACACACACACGTGTAAATGCACACACATACACACACTCACAGAACTAGGAATACTACACACAAGTAAAGAAATAAGGGAACTAGAATGGTTTAGCTTTGAATAACATCCTCTTAAATCACTTCCCAAGTTGACAAACTATTTAAACGCACATGGGAAGTTTTCGATGTGTAGTTGCTCACCACATTGAGAACTGTCATCTCTGCGGACTGGTGGCAATGCACACCACAGTGGTAACATATCTAGAAATGCCTTAACTATGCACAGGCTGTAGGAGAGCAGGTTTTCTGCACTGCTCTGTGGTGGGTAATTTCTGCGTTACCATCAGAAAGCTGGACATTACAGTTGCCTTTTTCTTCCATATGATATGTGTCAGTGTCCAGGCTTATGAGCCTAGAAATTCATAACCAAGGAAGGGGGTGTCAGAACGGCTAAGCATTAGAAGAGAAGCTGGGGATGCAGATGAAGATTTTAAAGTACATTCAAAACAACCAAATCAATCATGAAGGTTGATAGGCTTTCAAATTTCAAATAATACTAAAGATGTTTTTCTTTTTCCTTTTTTTTTTTGTTTTTTGTTTTTTTTTTTTGTTTGTTTGTTTGTTTTCTGGCCTCAAAGTTGTAATCCTTCTGCTTCAGAATTTTGAGTGCGATTGAAGATGTAGCCACTATACCTGGATGATTTTTTTTAATTGTTTTTTTTGTTTGTTTGTTTGTTTGTTTGTTTCCAAGTAAAAGTTTCTCTGTGTAGCCCTGGCTGTCCTGGAACTTACTCTTTAGACCAGGCTGGCCTTGAGCTCACAGAAAGCCACCTGCTTCTGCCTGGGATTAAAGGTGTGTGCCACCACTGCTTGGCCAATGTTAATTCTTAAAAGAGAAGTTAAGACATATTTGAGGGTTGGTCTGCTCACATATTCTGAGAGCAGAGCCTCTAAGTCAATCATAATCTAGGAATTCTTGACACTGGAAGTCTTTGCACTGGAAGAAACAATGCTGCAAGGAAACATGCCTTTCCTTGAAAAATAATCTACTGAGCTCTTTTTTAAATGATATTTTTTATTCTTTGGACACTCCATGCATGTGTATAAAGCATATTGATCATACCTGTCTACCTGCTTCCAACTGTCCCTAACGTCCCATCCCATCTCCCTCCTCGACTCCTGTCCTCTTTTTATTTATTTTCTGCTCTTATTAACTCCCAAGTCTAATCAGTGCTGCCCATACGCACATGGGTATGGAGCATACACCGAGCACAAACGACTGCTACCACAGGCTGAAGGAGAACTCTCCCAGCCTCATTAGCCATCGGCTCCCAGTACCTCCACCACCAGGGGTGGGCCTCAGGAGCTGCCTCCCAGCCATGCTGCAGTTTGACAGACTTGCTCTTGTATGGGTTCTCTGAGTTGGATGCCTGCAAAGGTCGTGTCAGGTCTAGAAGACAGTATTTCACGGCAGCCATCGTCATCTACCAACTCTGACGTTCTTTCGGCCTCCTCTCCTGTGAGGCTCCCTGAGCTTTTGATGGTGGCGGTTGATGTGGTGACTCATCCCCAGCTGAGGGCTCACGGTTACACTCTGCGCTTTGACCCATTCTGAGTCCTTGATCTAATTACCCACTGCAAAATGAAGCTTCTCTGACCACAGTTGCAAGCAGCCCAGATCTACTGACTCCTTTTCGAAAATATATTTTATTAATTCTTTAAGAATTTTATACAATATGTTTTGATCATATTCATTCCCCACTCCTGCAACTAACTGCCCCAAGATCCATACCTCTCTCCCTAATGAGTTTTTTAAATCATGACAAGTTTAGAATTCATATTTGACCAAAAGCCAAGTAGGATTTTCCCTGTCCATTCTGAGCATGCTTACTGTTATTACCAGAAGTAAGGGTACTGGGGAGGAAGCAGCATTTCAGGCCTGGTAATATTACAGCAAAACGTTCTCAGGGCTTAAGAAAACAAAAACCACTTTTCATTAACAAGGAAAAAAAACAACAAACTTTTTTCTTTCCTTGCTTTCTTCCTTTTCCTTTTCTTCTCTTTTTTCTTCTTTTCTTTCTCTCTCTTTCTTCTTTCCATCATTCTTTGCAAAATAAGAAGAATCAATAATAGCAAAGTGCCAGACTATGAAAAATCTCAAATACTCTCTTCATAGTACCACTTCATGTTGCCTCTAGAATTCCTGGGCCCAGGGGAGCAGCAGAGCCAAAGATTAGGGACAGGTTGGAAATTTCTTTAACCTGTTGACTGCAGTCACCACGTGGAAATGTTTCTTGAAATAAAGAGGTAGGGGAATAAAAGAAAAGAAAAAGTGCATCTTAGATCCAGTACTTAAGAAGAAATGATAAAAAGACAAGTCTAGGCACTTGGGCTTCTTCAAAACTGGTACTCTGGGAGCTAGAGAGATGGCTTAGCAGTTGTGAGCACTGGCTGCTTTTCCAGAGGTCCTGAGTTCAAGTCCCAGCAACCACATGATGACTCACAACCATCTGTAAATGGAATCTGATTCCCTCTTCTGGTATGTATAAAAATAGAGCATTTGTATACATAAAATAAATAAATATTTTTAAAAAACAAACAAACCTGGTACTCTGCATGCAATGAGAGGCTCTTATTTCTGTTTGTTTTGTCCAATTTAAATGCATTAGTTTTTGTTTTGTCTTTAATATTTTATGATTATGCCTTTTTTTGTTTGTTTGTTTGGTTTGGCTTTTCTATGTAGCCCTGGCTCTTGTAACTTTCTTTGTGGACCAATCTGGTCTTAAGATCCACCTGCCTCTGCCTCCCTAGTGCTGGGGTTAAACGCTTGTGCCACCAGTGCCTGGCACCTGTATTAAACACAAGGAAATCATGAAATTTGCAGGCAAATGGTGGGACCTAGAAAAGGTCATCCTGAGTGAGGTATCCCAGAAGCAGAAAGACACACACAGTATATACTCACTTATATAGACCTATAAGATAGGATAAACATACTAAAATCTTAAGGAAGCTAAACAAGAAGGAGAACCCAGGGTAAGATGATCAATCCTCACTTAGAAAAACAAATGAGATGGACATTGGAAGTAGGAGAAAACAGGAAACAGGACAGGAGCCTACCACAGAGGGCCTCTGAAAGACTCTAATAGTGTATCAAAGCAGATGCTGAGACTCATAACCAAACTTTGGGCAGAGTGCAGGGAACCATATGAAAGAAGGGGGAGTTAGTAAGACCTGGAGAGGACAGGAGCTCCACAAGGACCAAATATATCTGGGCACAGGGGTCTTGTCTGAAACAGATTCTCCAACCAAGGACCATGCATGGATATAACCTAGAACCCCTGTTCAGACATAGCCCATGGCAGCTCAGTCTCCAAGTGGGTTTCCCTAGTAAGGGGAACAGGGACTGTTTCTGACAGGAACTCAGTAGCTAGCTCTTTGACCTCCCTACCCCCCCCCCCGGTGGGAGAAACAAAAAGGAAAAAAAAAAAAACAAAAAACAAAAAAACCTGGTACGCTAAGCATGGACCAGATTTCCAGAAAAATTGAAAGTCACATTTGGGGGCATGTCTGAGAAGAAAAGGTATTCTGCTTTTAAAGTGGAAAATAGAGTTCTCTAGAACACATTTTCAAATTGTGCCTCATAAATTATCATCAGATCATCAAATTGAGCCTGTGAACTGGAAACAGCTAAAAAGAAAGAAAGAAAGAAAGAAAGAAAGAAAGAAAGAAAGAAAGAAAGAAAGAAAGAAAGAAAGAAAGAAAGAAA